AATTCTGAAGGGTAAGACATCATTCAGGTAATTAATTATGAGGTATTAATCCTTGGAAAATTTTTATGAAGGATTCCTGGGTTTGAGCCAACATGCGAGCCCAGCTGTGACTGCGATCGTTATAAGTTCAGTCCAATTTGTGGAGCTGATAGGAAAACCTACTTTTCCGCGTGTCACGCTGGCTGTTCGAATTACACCGTAGCAGATGGCAAAGTTTCTTCGGTAATTTTTCTGAATTACGTGTCATAACTGTTGTTTCTACTTCAAGTAGAAATTGAATATTTAATTATTTTTTTTCATTTCCTGAATTTTCTGACAAATTAGTGATTGAATTGACCCAAAAAAATCCGCAATTTTCACATTTATTTTGATATTTGAGAAGACATCGGAAATAATTGCATAAAAAAAATACGAGACGAAAATGAACAAGGGATATCGTTTTTATCTGTTGTTTGAAGGTTGAGACTTTGACATTGACAATTTTTTATACTATCAGTTATATTACCTCAATGGTCTATATTTGCTGAAGATTATGGACTTATTTATTTCAAGGTTACTTTAATAGGCTACGGATTGTCCTCTCTTCAATCGTTCTCACCGACTTTGATTATATTCGGTAAACTTCAATGGCACAGATTTTCATGGTCACACGTGCACTGATAGCTTACATCATACGAGATGGATATAAATTTCTTTTCAAACGAGAATCTGACGGAATCCAGAGATTATTTAAATTGTGATAAATGTTCCACTATTAATGTATGCCATCATTCAGATCAAGGACAGTTTAAAGAAGAGACAATTCGAAAAATAATGATGAATTATTGAAGGAATATTGAATTGAATTTTTTTTTTTAATATTTCAGTTTTCAAATTGTCAATGTATCGGGCAAAACGAGACATATCCCGAGTTATTGAGTACAGCAACGATAGGTTACTGCGAGCTGGAATGCAGTAACATCTGGGTTTACATGATTCTCTTCTCAGTATTCGTTTTTATCCACTCAACGAGTGAAGTGGGTTCAATGTTACTAATACTCAGGTGTGTGGATCCTCGGGACAAGGCAATGGCCTTGGGCCTTATACAATTTGCCATTGGATTATTCGGTAAATAGATGAACTCTGTGTATATGACTTGTACAATCAACCAATCAACAATAAAATAGTAATCTCGATTTATTTTTTAAACAGGTAATGTACCTTGTCCGATAGTTTACGGTGCTGTTGTGGATTCTGCTTGTTTGGTTTGGGAATATGCCTGTGGGGAGAGAGGGGCCTGTTGGCTCTACGACGCAAAAATATTCAGGATGTTCTTCCATGGTAATTCAATAACCAGACAATTTTTTTTCGATAAATAGACAATGAAACTCTGGGCTCGATAAATTCTGGATAATTCAATTATCATTTCAGGTACAACCGGTGGTATACTACTCTTAGCATTTATAGTTGACGTTGTCGTGTGGTACAAAGCAGGAAGTATAAATTTTGTGGATGATCAAGCTGGTGATCATGGCTCAGCAGAGGAAATGACAACTCTTAAGTCACAGGACGCCCAAGCAGTCGCCAATGAATATCGAAATTCATTTTAATCTAAGATAAAAATTGAATGAACGAGATGAAGTAAGATATATCATTATTTTTTCATGAAAATTTGTGGGCTCAGTGTGGATTTTCAGTCGAGCGCGTCATGTGGCAATGGAATCATTGTCTTTTGGGAGGAGATCACATCGACTATTCAACTGCGTTTTCCAGTGAATTTTTAGGGAGTTAATTTAGAAATAAGAGCTGCCATAGTGAATGTGTAGTTGGATAACGATGTGGAGGTACAAGCGGATTTTTCTTTCGAAAGAATTCGAAGTAGTGGGATTTAATGTTGCTTTTTAAAATGGCATATTAGGTGTCTTTGTTTCATTATTTTTTAACGGAATGAAAAGTGGACAGAACAATGGATGTTTATTCCCAATCATAATTCAGTGGAAGTCAATCAATTGAGAGTTGATTAAATCTGAAAGATGAATGAACATCCGTGGTATAGATGTCGAGGAGTGAAAAGGAATGGAAATAAATAATAAAATTTTTTTTTTTCCGTACCTAAATGCAACGGTGCTACCCACAGACGAGATAAATCGGTGTGCCGTGACTCGTTGATTTGAATGATATTAATTGGTCAATAGAAATGAAATTGATGCGGAATCACGTAGTGAAACATTAACTTGCCGCTTGTTGAGTTTGAAGTTCAAGATTTCTCAGGGGCAAACAGCTCAAAGGATATTCAATAATTTCACACGATTGTTTTTCTTTTTTCCTCATTTACGGTATCGCCGTCCAATTTCATTGAACACAGAGTGGTTTCACCCTACGGGTTTATCGAAGAGGAAATTATATATTATAAAGATGATGGTATGTGCACGGTAGTCTAAGATTAATCGTGATTTGATGAATGGCATGAGTGAGAGGCTGAGAGAAGGGGAAGGGGGAGATACATTCAACATATTTTTAGACGATTTGACGAAAAAAAAAAAATGAAAATGGCGTAGCTATTACAAAAGTGAGATAAATAGTTCAGAAGAAAGTGAAATACAAATGTCTAAGAGTATTTTAATATGATACACTTTACATGCGACACACTCGTGTCCAGTGTTTTAAGGAAGTTTGAAAATTCAAGAATAAAGTCATAACTCAAGTTTATTTTAGGGATGAAAAAAGAAAAATACATTTTGGGCATTAGAATCGATGGAGCGGAGATGCTAGAGATAGTATTTCCTGCATATTGAAATTGAAATTACTGGATGAGATGGATAAAATTTCGTAACAATCATTTTCATGAAAAATTGTATTTTTCTAATTGAATAGTTTCAGCTGATTTCGTTATTTGCCAGGATGAGACATTAAACTAGATTTTTTATTTGCATTAAAATACGTAGATCATAGCTCGAGATTTTATTCTGAAAAATTTTACTCGTGACTTAAGATAAATCAAGAAATTTTTATGGAAGAGACATTTTAACGTTAATGAACACATCACATCGGTCTAATATCAACATCTCCTTTCTTTCGTTGTTGTTGCTGTTGTTGTTGTTTGTCTAAGCCGAATCGACGATTATTTTTGTCAACAAAATAGTTCATCCAATTGTGATCATTAGAGTGGTGTAAGTTGTATAGCTGGGCTGCTCATAAATAGTAATCGTAGACAGATATATTGAATGCATATATATTATATAACATATTATTTCCGCACTTGTAAATAGAAGAGTACAATAACTTTTACCAAACCGAATGAAAAGAAATTTCCCGCGTGGTGGAAGAGACTGCGGAACCTAATATTTCATCTTGCTAAAGCTTCCGATGTATATTTTACTCAATCAAGTTTTTATTTTAGCTTAGTTGACAGGGTTAGACAAAATTTTTGACGAATCTTGGCATTTATTTGTGATGAGAGACTTGCATGGAGTTCATCAATTTTTTTTAAATTCTCTATTCATTTTTTTTAATGAAAAATGGGAAATATGGCCTAGATGTTAAATCAATTGAATCTTTGAATTTTCAAAGACCCTTCGGAGATAGATTTGAAATTAATGTTAAAAAATGTCAATTCACGTGGAAATCGGAAATATTTGATTGAAATGTCGAGAGGGAAAAAAATGTTGTTATTTATTATGCAAGTTAATTATCACAAAAATATTTGTATATAATCTCGTGTATTTTTTCGATAATTTTTATCTACCGATTCAGCAGCACAATGAAAATTTAACAATCATTAAGACTGTCCAACTCTGTTCAATTATTCAGACACTGCCACAACTCCGATCTCGATAAAAAAAAAATGTCGCGAAAAAGTGAGACTTACAAGAAATGAATACTGCCGAGATTAAATACAAATCACTGGAACAGATTTACAGAATTAAATGCATTTTCCGTGCATTTATTCAATTGTTATAATTATTATTACACGTCGAATTTAAGGTTCCACAGTTCCGAGAAATAAAAAGTACATTATTCAATTTCCAATTACTAGATAGAAAGAAGAGTTATGAAATTAATAAACAAACAAATTCCTTGAATTACAAATGAGATAAATCCGACGAATCACAGATAATACCACGATGATACTATATTATATATTTTAGTAAATCAATTTATCTATAAAAAGGATTTAATGAGGATAAGTTAAAAGAATTGTAAACATAGGATTAAACGATTTGAGGAGAAATAATGAATTTTGTCGCTCGAATTTTAACGTCGATTTCACGTAATCTACCGGAATTATAGTACGTAAGTGAACGATAATTGCTAGTCCCTGAATAATATATATTACGCAGATGAAAACGAATGAATGTTAATTATTAATAAACTATTGTCTAATGATGAGTGAACGAAGTGCGTATATGAGGATCATTGTCGATTAATGTTAAATACTTCGTATCAATACCACGAGGGGAAACGACTTTAGGCTAATATCGATCCGATTAACCGTTGATATTATTAATAAAATTGAGGGACATCACAATTTTTTATTCTCATCGAAGAAAATGCTCCTAAAACCATTTTAAACTATTTTAAAACTATTTTTCATAGAATGCATTATTGATGTAAAAAATGATAAAGCAATTGTCGAAATTTTTTAAATCAAACTCTTGTGAGGATTATTTGTAAGATAGAATTTCGTTTTAAATTTTGTTTTATTGAATATTGATGCTGTACATACGATGAAATATGGGAATTATTTCCATTGGGGTTTTGTCCCGATTATTTTTATCACTTTAATTTCGATAATTTACGCATTAAATTCGTTCATTTTTCTCGCGACTCGTCGCATCACTGATGTACCTTTAAAACGCAGAAAACACAAATACATACAGAACTCTTACTAAATATTTTTCAATTAGCCCAAGGATTATCAAATGAGTCGACTCGAAAAAAATCTACGATTATAAATCTGAAGATCATTCAACGCGATCGTTTGATAATCCCAGGGTTAAGACTGATTCAGGAGAATATATGACGCAATGAATGAACCTACGTATTTTGTAATTACATTGTCATTATTGTTTGTAATTATTATGGATAATGAAAATTCGTTTATAATAGATTAAAAAACGGCACGTGCCATAATTATTATACACGTATTTATAATTTTCCTTTAACCAAGAATTTGTTACTCAATTTGTTACTAAAAAAA